CTTTTAAGATTAATCAACAAAAACAAAAGACTGACGTGGCAACAAGAAGAAGAAAAAGAACAAGATGACCAGGAAGAAGAAAAAGAACAAGATGAAAGAGAACAAGAAACAACAACAACAACATTGAAAACAACAAGAAGAAAAACAAGATCAACAACAACAAATCAGAAGAACAAAATAACAAGAACTAGAACAACATGAACAAGACCAACAAGAACAATATTGAAAACAACAAGAAGGAAAACAAGATCAAAAACCACAAGAACAACAACAAGATTAAACACAAGAAGAACAAGAACAAGATAAAAAACAACAACAAGAACAACATGAAGAAGAACAACAACAAGATTAAAAACAAGAAGAAGAAGGACAAAAACAATAACCACAATTAAAACAACAACAAGAACAACAAGATTGAAAACAAGAAGAAAAACAAGATAAACAACAACAAGAAGAACACGATCAAAACAACAACAACATTAAAAACAAGTAAAAGAACAAGATCAAGAAGAAGAACAACTGGAGGAGAACTGGAAATGATTTGAAGCAAACACAAGCTCAGACTGAAGAAGGAGGAGAGCTGAGAGACAAGATGGACAGGGGGTTGATGAGTGAAATGTCAACACCTGTCATAATGATACCTGGAGGCAGGTGAGAGTGGGCGTGGCAAGAGCTGACAATTTTTTTTTTTAATGTCAATGTACTTATATAAGCAGGTCTCTGGTTCAAATCCTGGTCCGGGGCCATACTATCTGAATAGAGTTTGCATGTTCTCTCCGTGCATGTGTGGGTTTGCTCCGGGTACTCCAGTTTCCTCCCACAGACCAAAAACATGCATGTTAGACTGATTGGTAACTCTAAATTGTCCCTAGGTGAGAGAGAGAGAGAGAGAGAGAGAGAGAGAGAATGGTTGTTTGTCTCTATGTGTCCCTGTGATGGACTGGAGACCTGTCCAGGGTGTCCCCGCCCCTCGCACAGTGATTGTTGGACATGGGCACCAGCGACCCCCTTGACCCAAAAATGGAAGAAGCGGGTAAAGATAATGGATGGATGGAAGTATTTATATAGCACATAAAAAACAAGAAAAGTTGACCTAAGTGCTTTAAGTTTAGTCAAATAAAAAGGTAAAATCACAGTAAAAACAAGGAAACACAAGAAAGGTTCAATTAAAAAATACCTCAACAAGGAAAAAACCATTAGCTCCAACTGGTTCTCAAACTCTGCTCGGATCAAACACCAGGGAAGGAAAGATGGTTCTTGAGCAAAGATTTAAAAGTCGTCTTCAAGTAAAACTATTCAACGGTTTGGAGCAGCTACTGAAAATGTCCAATCACCTCTGGGCTTCAGCTTGGATCTGGGGATATCTGATAAAAACTGGTTGGTAGACCAGAGTGCTCTTACTGGAGTGTAGATGTTAAGAAGATCACATAAACATGATGGGGCCAGACCTGATAAAACTTTAAAAACAAGCAGTAAAATCTAAAAATCAATCCAGAAGTGGGCAGGAAGTTCACATTTTTAGTAACTGTTAAAAGACGATCTGCACAGTTTGTAAGAAATCTATAAACGAGTAACACAAAAAGCCTCCAAAACAACCAAAACACAAATCCTGACACCCCCTGCATCAACTGCGTCAGACAAATTTATATCATCCTTAAACTGCAGCCGCAGAAAATCAGACGGCCACAAATGGCCCGCTGGCCTCACTTTGGACACCCCTGCATATGCACACATGTCCAGTTTGTGTAGACTCACTGCAAACGCTGCAGGTGAAGCACGCGTTGTGGAATAAAAGTCCCATGGCCCGACACGCTCCTCTTGCGGCGTGCACAGACTCACCGCATCTCGAGCAGCTTCCTGAACGCACAAAAACACAAGAAGAAGAGAGAGAGTGAAACTGTAAACATCTTTTCTCCTCATTCAAAGAGCAGCTAAAGGTTTATCACAACATATCTGTTAAAGATCCACCTTACCAAGACCGGGACCAGGGTCCATCCTGGAGCCTTCAGTCTGACTGCAGGCCGTCTAATTTTACCAACAGCTGTAAGGGGAGCTGCTGTCTGGGTTTATGGGGGGGACACAAGTCTGCAGACCTCCTGACTCCTCCACGGTGGCTGCTTTGTGGATGGCAACAGAGAGGGACAACCGAGAAAACATCAGATTAGCGTTCAGAAACCAGCAAAGCTCAAGGATCAACTCAAACAGTGACGGCTGGTGGAGTTTTCTCAAGGGGGCCTGTAACTCACACACACACT